TTTGCAAAGTTTAATCTGAGATATCAAAGATCGGCTTATAAGTCTCTAAGTAACACCCAGGGGATAGAATATATAAGTTAAACCTCAAAAACCAAGTTAAAATACGCAATGACTTAAAAAACAAAATTTCACAATATTTTCGCTAATAGCTAGGCAAACTCGCGGTGAGTATCTAATATTCGCCTTAAAACGCGTTATCATTTCCTCATTCGTTATACTCTACACTACTTGTGGTAAAAGGGGTATTTTAAGTTTGTGTGGACGTATACAACGTCCGGATGGACTTGAGGTAGACACACTTGTTGTACCGATCGATTCAGGATCACTTTCTCAATCTATCTAAACTGGTCTGTCCGTCTTGTTTTCTTGTGTTTAACATATAAATTTATGACAAATTTTGTTGGGCCAAATAAGAACGTAATTGAAAATGATTCGGATCGGATCACTTTCCCCACCAGTTCCCATATAACTGCTTATTTGGAAATGTCGTTATATGAATAAATGCATGAGCAAAGTGGTGTAGTGGTATTTAATAGTGCACCATGTCCGGCTATAATGTATTTTCAATTGTTTTTATTATAATTATCCGTGTTACTTTTATAGGAAAGAAAATTGATATGTACAGTTTTAACGGAATTATAACCCTTTATTTAAGTCATAAAAACCGTAACTATTCGAAATATGTGCATTTAAGAGGTCTTTTTTGCCAAATTAAATTTTTTATTTACTTAACACGTTTATAATTTTCTAAACTACAAAAATACCCGGAAAGCCATGAATACTAATTGTTGTTGATAATTAGATAAATTTTAATTAATTTTAAGTTCAAACTAAAACTGAAACTAATGTTTTCAATATTGAATGTTTTTTCGTAATGTAAAATAACTCGAATTCTTAAAGTTTTTTTTTTACTTAATACCAAGTAAAAAGGTGTATTCGCCTGAGTAACCGAGCAGGTATCGATCACGGTTATCAACTCGGTGTCCGCTGGCTAAAATTTGAGCGCGGTAGAGCTTATTTTGGTCGCAACTACAGGGAGTGATTAATCGGTAAAGACATAACGCCTACCGATTGGGCGCACACCCACTAGATTTCGCGCACCACATAAATATCTCTTTGTATTTTCTCACTTTTTTCTAACTATCAGCATGCTACATGAATAGACGATATCTCCTAAGTGAATGGTCATATTAAAAAAAAAAAATTATTAAGTCGTGAGTTGGGTAAGTTATAAAAAATTCGCAGAGAAACTGAATTTTAGAATAGTTATCAGTTACATTAAATCTTTTTTGCTTAACTTTTTTTTTTTTTATATTATATTCTACTTTAAAACGAGAACTCACCTAAAATTTCAAACCTCTAGAAAATGCTTACAAAGCTTATAATGTTTGAAAATTTTTGATGACTTCGATTTGAAGGAAGTGTTTTTTAAGTACCTGTAACCACTATATTTGGGACTTTTTTCGAAATACCGATCACATATTTATGTTTCTACCAAAATAAGTCAAGGTGGGTCACCTGCAAAACGTGTATGCTTTCCTTATAGCTAGCTAAAAGAATAAACGAATGCGCCGCAATAATACATTGTAGGTCTTTATAATTTTGCTCAGCTTTCGAATAGTCCACGATCTTTTCGTATACCTGCGATACACGTGATAATCAATCATATTTCTAGCACCATAAAGTGAATTGAATTAACATACTCCAAGTAAACATGAACATCCACTCAAAAATTGCTAAATTTATTGCACAGAAAAAACAAGATGTCTTATATTTTTAATATATGTAATAAATACGTTTGTGGTAAGTGATTATCTGATATAACTATAAAACTATTTGTAAAACATGTTCGCCATAATTATAGTTATAAAAAAAGAATACAAATAAATATCATTTTCGGCAAACTGTATTTTCTCATTTACACAAATATGACATTAAAAATCACAAACGGTATTACTATCAAAAGACGTTCAATAAGTATAAGACGAAGTATGGGCATTATTATTACATAGTATTGCACCAATTATAAATGCATAAGATAGACGACAGTTTAATAACAAACAAGAAAGCAATCCTAGTTATTCTAGCTACCATGCACATGGATGATCGGCACTTTCTGTTGCTATTCCCGATTGCCATGTTGCTGAAAAATCTTTCTAACAGATCTTGGCTTACCCTGTATGTCGCGATGGTTTCGTTAGGGTAAGCCTCCAGCAGCTCTTCCATAATTGCTTCGAAGTTCATGACTGTGGTGTAGATGTCAGCAGCTAGATGGTCCCCAATAAATATGCTCTGTAAGTATTCTTTTACGTCTTTTAGTTGTTCTTTTTTCTCTGGCCAAGTTTCGCTGCTGGTCATGTTTCGATGGAAGATGTTCTCGAAGGTCGTAAATATCGCGATTAAGTCGCAGACTGCTTGCGCTTTTCCGTCGGTATCGTTTATTTCATCATTATCGATTGCCGCTTGTAGAGTTGCGACCTGCGCATCGCCCATTAGCTGCATCGAAACGGCCATCTTCCATGCCTTGCTGTATGCCGGCATCCAGCCGTTTTGATGGGAGTAAGATCCATTTTTCGGTCGCATTTGAGACATTGTAGACAGTACATTCAGATTAAAATGGTTTTTTTTGTCTTCCAATTTATTTATAATTGCTTTTACTAGATGCGGATAATCGAACAAAAGCCGGATACAGGGTGTGCTGCCCTCTACCCGTTTTCTATTGTATATATTGTTTTTTCCAAATTTTCGGGTATGTTGTATATTTGCTCCATTTCGGTCGCAGACGTCAGCTCTTACGTCCAGCCCCAACTTTTCAGCCGTTTTGATGTTTTCTTCTAAGGCCCTTTCCATGTTTTTTTGGGCTTTCATGCGGGGATAGCCGTTCAGCACTATGTTGAATGGGGTGAGAAGGCTACTTGCTGCGAAGACCAGCACACTATGGTGTTCCATTGTCTTCTTTTTCTTTTGGTCCGTATAGTCGCAGCCCCGCAGTTCGTCATCTGCTCGCGAGTACACCGTCGCGTGGTTGGTGTACACCTCGTCAAAACGAATCTGCACTATTTTGTCTTTTTCGATCAGCCCAGCGAATTTTAACTGGACTGACATAGGCGGACTGTCGCAGCCCTCGGCATGGACCGGTACGAAGTCGTCCTCTTCGGTCAGTCGTTTTGGGCCATGCGACTGCCGGCGACTTGCAGCCTGGGCAGACGTAGACGGATCATCGTAGCTCTCGACATAGACCGGTGCGAAGTCATTCTGGGCCGGTGAAAAGTCGTCCTCTTCGGTCAGTCGGGCGCGTTTTGGGCCATGCGACTGCCAGCGACTTGCAGCTTCAGCAGCTTTTCTTTTGGACTCCTTCAGGAAGTTATGCAGGAGCATCGAGGCACATGTTTCATTCCTTGATTCTGGCGTCATTAACATGTTATTTGGGGTGGATCGCCCCGTCGTCCATGGCGATGTCGCAGTTGAAGGTACTTCGAACTGCATTTCGCGCGCCGTGCACCTTAGTTTGAATATAACCGCATCTACGGTGGATGGAGTCAGAGCCTTTTCGCCCTCCTCGAAACCAGAAAGTTTTCCTTTCGCCAGATAGGTTTCCTCACATATATATAGCTCCTTTCATTTATTGCTTAATCAATGCCATAAATACATAGAATTCACTAGTTATTACTAGTTACGTGCACAATGCCACAATTTCAAGATCGGAAAAAAATCAGAATGTGCTAATAAACGGATCTAAGTTGCAATGAAGGAAAAGACATAAAGGAAAGTATGACAACAAGAAAAGTAAACCATAGCAACAAATCGTAGCAACAGCAACAAAGAGAACCGTCAAGCACGAGAGTTAAAATAGGCATTAAAAGATCGGCAGGCAACCTGAAAGAGATCATTGGCCCACAACGAGTTCATGAAGAGAAGACCCACCAAGTACGTCCGCGCTCCAAATAAAAATTCAATTTAAGATCGTATATATCCACGAAACCAATAAGACAAGGAGATTAAAAAGGTTTCGTAAACTTCCATTTTTCAAGTTTATATGGTTTCTTTTTATTTACTCAACATCATACCTGCACTGTTATATTGGTTCCAGCAGGTGCTGATAACCTCTTTTATTTTCCTTACCTTGCCATAACTTTCACTTCTTATTCTATAGGTAGATTGTAAATCAAATATATGGCAGAAAAAAATTTAGTATTCCGAAGCAGAAGTGGTAATAATCCAATACCAATTTAGCGATAAAACAAGATTACTGGTTTATGCAAATCAAGAAGTGAAATAGATCATATTAAAGATAAATTTTTCAAAAACCATTTTAATTTTCCTAGGAAAGGCAAAGCCACTCGAAAATGTTATTGAGCGTATACTCAAGCAGTAAAAACGATATTAAATTGTAAAAATAATACATAAAGCATCTTACTTAACTTAAGGGGTTCCCCTGCCTATAACGTAGTTGCTGCAATTTTGGATCTCAAAAAGAAAGAAATTACTAAATCTAAACGTTCTTAGCTACAGCATTGAAAACTCCTTGAATACTTGAAAAAAGACTAACGGCAGCAGCGACTATGAAAACAAAAAACTAAGGATTATACACTTTTTTTCTTCTTTACTGTTCCAAAATTTTTACCAAAAACTTTTTTACGCTCTTCGCTCCCCTAAAATAAGCAAAGAAAACGTGATACTTTCAGAGCGTGTACGGGTGTTACCACATAAAATGTTTTCTTTCTTATTGGGCTTCATCGTTTACATTGAGAATACTGAAATCACCTATAAGTACAACTTCTTTACGTTTACATCCATTTAAGTTTCCGAACCAAGAAGATATTCTACGTGGTAAGAAACGCTATTGCTGTTTTCACTTAAAAGCATTGCCAATGAGAAAGAAATTTAAAGAAATAAATGGCAATTCGTTGGACATGTCAATGTGTCAATAGCTTGAGAGGGAGCGAAAGAGAGGGTTAGTTAATGGCAAAAAGGAAAACGATAGGGAAAGTGAAGAAATCTTGAATATTTTCAAGAAAAATTTTAAAAAATTATAAAAAATTAATAAGCATAAAAAAGTGCAATAAATACCAATTGACTTTGTCCTTTTTTTATCAGCAAGCTTCAAATCATGGATGTAATCAATAAATTTTATTCTACTGTACACACAACCGTTGCTCAATTGTCAGGCGTCTTACCAGGTAATAATGTCACCCGTGAATATGAAATATTGGATCAACTGTGTACAGCTGGTGTAGGTTTATTATGGAAAGTATACAACGGTTATAAAAAGTCTACCAAACAAGAAGTTTCTGTGTTTGTGTTCGAGAAAAAAAATCTGGAACGTTGGTCTCGTGAAGATAAGGAAGCTATTTTAGAAACACTAAGAAGAGGAGTGCAACAATTGACTAAAATACGACACCCCCATGTTTTAACTGTTCAAAATCCTTTAGAAGAAAGCCGTGATTGCTTAGCTTTTGCCACTGAACCAGTATTTGCCTCGTTGGCGAATGTAGTGGGCGATCGGGTGCAGGCCGATAAAAAGCTATATGATATAGAGATACGCCACGGTTTATTGCAGTTATTTGATGGATTACAGTTTTTACACAGTGATGCTAAAATATTGCACCGAAATATTTGTGCCGAGACAGTTGTAATCAACAAAAATCGAAACTGGAAATTATTTGGTTTTGACTTTTGCGTGACAAATCAGCCAGCTCCCGATGGCACAGCGTTTTGGCCATGCAAAGAATATAGTAGTGCAATACCAATGATGGCTCAACCCTGTTTGGAATACTGTGCTCCGGAAATAGCTTTAAATAATATTAATTCCACAGATAGTGATTTGTTTTCTCTGGGAGTATTAATATTCACCATATATGCTGGAAAACCTTTGAAAGTATTTGGCAACGACTATACTGCCTATAAACGTTATGCGGCGGAGTTGAATCAACGTAAATATCCACCTATGAACGCATTGCCGAACGAATTGATGGAAAGTGTAAAAGCGCTTCTGCATCCAAGTCCACATTTAAGAACGAAATTGCATGAACTGAAAAAAATTTCATATTTCCACGATGTGGGTGTTAAGACTTTAAATTATTTAGACTCTCTCTACCAATGGGATAATCTCAATAAATCTAAATTCTATAAAAGTCTGCCACAAATTATTCCTACTCTACCCCATCGCGTTAATTTGCATTCCATACTACCACATTTGGTTAAGGAATTTGTTAATTGTCCTATGATACCGTTTGTGTTGCCCAACGTTTTAATTATAGCTGAAATGAGCAGCCAAAAGGAATACAGCGATCATATCTTAACCCACCTGATACCAATATTCAAATTAAAAGAACCTATACAGACACTCTTGATACTAATGCAAAAAATGGACTTACTGCTTAAGCTAACAGCGCCAGAGGAGGTTAAATTGCATGTTCTACCTTTACTATACCGTTCTCTGGAGTGTGATATGCCGCCGCAGATACAAGAATTATGTTTAATTGTTTTACCGACATGTTCAGATCTAATTGACTACAATGCTATGAAGAATTCAGTGATACCGAGAATCAAAAAGCTATGTGTAGCCAGCACTCATGTTTCGGTAAAAGTGAATTGCTTGATATCAATTGGAAAACTTTTGGAGAATTTGGATAAATGGTTAGTGTTGGATGAAATTCTCCCATTCTTGCAACAAATACCATGTCGTGAGCCAGCTGTCATAATGGCAATAATAGGTAGGACAAAAGTTGGGCCATTTTTTCTTTTAAATCTTTTCATTTTTTTTCCCTTGTTAGGTATATACAAAATTGCTATGACCAATGCAAAATTGGGTATTACTAAAGATGTTTTGGCTAATAAATGCATACCTTTCTTAGTACCTTTAAGTATAGAGTGCGGTTTAACTGTTGCACAGTTTAATACGATAGTGACATTGATTAAGGAAATGTTTTGTCGTATGGAAAAGGAGCACAGAGAAAAACTGGAACAACTCAATACGATACAAAGAGGCAATAAGTAAGTTCTTTCCTAAAGAATATAATCTAAATCACATAATATATCGGGTGCCATAGAAAGGTTGACGTGTTGTCATTGCTCCAGCTTAAGAAACTTACTATTCTAAAACTGATACAGACAATCCAAACATGACTTACGTGTTCTTATCGTATGGCTACAGACGAAGAAACTGCTGCCTTGCATCGATAAGTTTGTAACATTTCTTAGTGCCAGATAAAATTTTTTTGTTTGCCCGTTTAGAAAATACACTCCAATTCTTATTGCATTAGTTTAACGTGGTCACTTATTTTATCAAAGGTTCTATGCTGAAAAATATGTTATTATATTATGTGCCAACAGCATTGCAAAGCTCATTCCGAGACAACTCGTCGCCTTACGTCAAAAAATATTTTGGACGATGTGCTAAATTTTTTTGTAATCGACATTTAAAGCGGAAATTTTTTCTTGGACAAAGGTTAATTTTATATATATATGTTGTTGCTTTAAAGCATGTACAACATAATGCGATGTGAAGAATTAGTGCATTTAATGGATGTGTATATATATATATATATATATATATATATATATTTATTATATATTATGTTGTACATGCTTTAAAGCAACAAGCCTTAGAAAATATCTCGCGAATGCATTGAGAACTATATCCTGATTTTTTTTTCTTTTTTTTTATTTATTTATGGTTTTTTCCTTATTTTAAAGACCTAAAGATGCTGCTGAAATTTTGGCTAGTGAACTGGACAAAGGTAGCTTTGATGATAAGACAGGCGATGTGCTTCCTACCTTTTCTATAAATAAAAATACGAAATCTCAGCTCACTTTGCAACCCAGCAAACCTAGAGAACAGTTAAAGTACGTAAGCTTTAAAAACCGGATTCATTTCTACTCATTTTTACATAACCAGCTAATTCTTTTTCATCCTTAGAATATCGTACGAGCTATCATCTAATCATAAACCGGATATTTTATCATCTCTGGTGAAACCCAATTTGACTAATATAAGCAATAATTCGCCACCATACGCTGCTTTGTGCACTTCCCTCTGCACAACAGCGCCCAACAGTGTCAATGGTAATGTACAAATTCTCAATTACCAACCACAAACTACAGCACCAACGAGTGATATCAACAACTGGGATCAAAATAACTGGCACAGTGCGAACCCTTTAGTTATGAATCATCAGTTATCACCATCTACATGTATTATGAATCACCAACAACGAAGTACAACGCCAGAACAACAGTCTAATAATGTACATAATAATAATACCAAACATTTTTCTTCTCTTGATGCTTTGGATCCATTCAATTGCTGTGATGATGGTACAGCTAACGCTAAGCACGAAACGGCTGCTAACATATGTGCGTCTAAAAAATCTAACGTAGATTACACGTATCCGACGAGTTACAATACAAAAACCACAAAGCCGATTAGCTTGACGACAATGTCAAAACCGCTAACACCGCAAGCCTCTAACAGCAATATTAGCAATCAAATAAATCAAGGCGATGAACACAGTTTAATTGCTTTGAGTCATCAGGATATTTTAAATTTTCTAAAATAAAGCAGTAAAAATTAAAAAACTAATCCTAGACGAAAACAGAAAAACTTATCTGAAAAACGGGTCATTTTACACAAACGTAATAGCAAATTCCTAACCAATTTTTAGACAAATAATCTTGAAATTAAAAAAAATCGATCACCGTTTCTTTCTCTTTTTGTTTTATATGTTGTGCGTACGTGCAAAACAATACGATTTGTCGAGTATGTTAAAAACTACAACAAAAGTGTGAAACTTTATGGAAATTACTGATCTGAATACGGTTCTTTAATATTGGTCAGAAGTTTGCGCATTTAGTGCTGCGGGCGTTGGAGTATCTTTTTCACATGTTTAACAGAATTCTATAAAAACTCTTCCTCTGCATACTGCTTATGTCTTACGAAATAATAGTTATCTTCCCTCTTATATCCGGATAGAATTAATAGTACTACAATATTTAGTGACATTCCCTTACCAGGAGAACAAACATCCCAAACAAAACTTAACGTTTTAGGTACAAACATGCGGAATGTACGTTATGTTGTAGATCCTTTGAATGTAAGTCGCAAAGACGTCATTCTTTGTAAGGACAAGGATCTGCAAATAGGAACAGTACTCAACGCTTATGGTCGTGCGATAGAACAGATTGTAAACAATGAAAGAAGCGCGTAAAATTTTGTATGTTGGTTGAATTGGGGCGATCAGAAAAATTCGTTCTCGTAATAATAGATACAACGTACACTAATCAAAATAATTTTCTGTGCAAAGCGGAACTCCAATTTTTGGAACAAAATGCGCAGTCCCGAGTTATCCCGAACTAATGTCTGCTCTTGTCGTTTTGTGTCAAAATTGATTAGAAAATTGTGTTTATATAAGAAACAACACGTATGCTTATACATAACTTAACAAGAAATATATACATTTCTAACAAAAATTAAGTGAAATTTTAAAACAAAAAATTTTCAAAATAAAAATGTTTATGAATTTTAATTAAAGTAGTTAAATTATAGAATAACACAACAATAATCACAATATAATGTATTATTTTATGTATTCACCTTAGTTACATAATTATGCATTTTAAATTGTATTCAAAAATTTGTACAAACTGACTGTAAAAGGTAGTAAAGGGTCTTTTTTTAATTAATTAAACACTTTTAGTAAACAGCTTAGAGACGAACTCCATTTAGTAAAAGCTATTGGAATTTTCTCTTTGAAATACCATCATTTACGAAGAACAGCATAAAATGCTTTCAGTACATCTTCTGACATATTAAGTACTAGTACTAAGCAGCACATCCGCATAATTATGCATGATATGCTGCAAAATATATATTTGTAGGTTGGTATTGCAAAGTAATTAAATAAAAATAAACACAGCAGTTCATTTACACACTATTCATATAAAAATTTGAATCTCGGGCCTCTTGTGAACAGATGTGAACAATGAAAATAGTAGGTTTGCAATGAACTTCGTTTACCTCAATGATAACTATGAGACAAATATTATAATTTTAAGTGTCTTCTTGCCTATTGACGGTAGTAAGCTTAAGGTGATTAAAATTCCAAATAACGCCTTGCAGGTCTCATGGATCCTTGATAGTATCCGCGTGGTCTCTTCCGATATCATTTTATTCACTTACACATTACTATAAGGTTTTTCTGCTTATCTGTTAATATATCTTGGAATAAGCTGTCTGCATTGATTTGCTTTGAAGATGCTGTTTCTTTCTTACCACCTTTTGAGCACAGCTCCAACAAAGTTATATTTCCCCTTTCCATGAGGGTAAACTCAATGCTTATCAAAGTTATGGTTCAGAGTTTGCATTTTCTGCATCTTCTAGAAAGGGGTAAATGAGGTTCTGAGATCAAAAAAATGTTATTTTGAGCCTTATCTTGTGGAATGAGGGGGTCATTACACTATCAAGCCAAACCAAAATAATCCTTAAACAAGAACTGTAATGCATTCGTGAAACAAGTTACAGAAACCTTTTAGAAAATCTTTCTTTTAATAGTTTCATCAATGAGAAAAATAAAAAAATCGTTATTGAGTACATCAAACCAAATAATAGATGCAAACAAATACTGCGTAGAATTGCTCGAAATCGAAAGTAGTTATCCATAGGAAACATATAAGACGTTCAGCTGTTAGTAGTTCTTTAGACGAATCTATGCTCTCTACACAGTTCGGAGCGCCAAAACTTGCTTGAATTTCAAATTCCGCGGTTTTCAATAAAAAATAGATATACCACATCTAGAAATGCCAAAGTGGGCGTGTCCCAGAAAAAGATTTGATATATGTTTTTGCTGTGCTGGGTAAATCTAGTGTTACATCTATCTTGTCCCAGGCGTTAATAGTTAAGTTCTTTATTAAAAATTAAATCTTATTTTAAAAATTTTTATTAGTTTTTCGTTTCGATTACCCTGATTTTGAACCTTAGACAGATCGTAACCGATATCACTTTTCAAATCTAAAACAATTTAAAAAGTCTTCACTTCATTTGATATATATCTAATAACACTAAATCAAATAGAAAAAAACTGAACGCTCATTTGATTTTTCAACTCGAATATACATAAAATTTAGGGCAGTTATTACCAAAAGCGTGCTTAGAAAAAATACATTGCTATTGATATACTCCAAGCCATTAAATCAACGTAGCGACAATAACATAATAAAAAACAGACTAGATGGTCATTTGCTCTTTAAATTTCGTTCCAATCCAAGTTTATGTCTCAGCTAATATATGTGTAAACAAACTATGGATGCGCCTTTCTTTTTCGTCATACATTAAAGAATTGAGACCGTCCATTTTGTGACGCAAAACGCCCGCACGCAGTAAGGCTACACGATTTTCATTTTTCTCTTCTGGCTTGTGTCGTAGCATGGTGAACTCGCTAAGCTCTGGAGAAAAACGACATATATCTATGTTTCGCGCTTGCAAACGTTCGTAGAAATCGTCATCTTCACCACCCCAACCTTCATACAAATTGGACATACCATTTACTACGCGGAACTGTTCGGTACGTATAGACACCACGCCACCAAATAAACCAGTATAAGGCAAATTAAAACGCCACATGTCCAATGCAGAGCACATATGACGTGGTAATTGAGTACAGACGTATAGACTACCTAAATTCAATGGCAATAAATCCACATCGCTAAATATCAAACAGGGAAAACCGTATTCAGCAGCTATATTAGAACCAATGTTGAAAAGCTTCGCTCTATTGAATGGCTTCTGATCATATTGTTCTATCAAAAAGATGCGATAATGTATACGCTGATGTCTTAAATAGTTATGCATATAAATAAGGAAGGAATGGAGCTGTTCCTCACGTTGCCTATAAGGCACTATAATCGCTGTACTGAAGCGTGCTCGGCACTTCTCCGGATAGTATTCCCCACCCGATAATATTTCTTCACTTCTCAATATCTCTTCACGATATTGTGCTCTATACATATAACGATTTTCTGCAAGGATGTCGCCGTAACTGCATTCGTCTAGATGTTGAAGTGTAATATTGTGCGTGACTTGCGACACCAGAGCATTTTCAATCTGTTTTAAGCTGAGGTAATTATAGTGCGAGGCAAAACGATGCGGCAGGCATATATAAATTAATGCCAGTGCACAAGTGAACTTTGTTGTTATTTCAACCAAATGATATTTTCTTTGGTAAATTCGTATATACATTATATTTTTATTTAAAGGAAAACGATTATTCACCTATTTGCTTTGGACGTAATATTACCGAATATCCGAAATGTTATTCTAATAATTAGGATATTGCAGCTGTTCACATCATATTTCCTCATATCATTGCCCTTAACTTACTATAAATACAATACAAGTCTGCATTACTAATATTTTGTACGAAGTTCTGTTCTATTCTATTATGGATAACTGAAGTGTTGCCAACTTCTTCTTTCTCAGTTCTATTATCGCAGTTTACATTTCGAATAGAAGGACGTTATGAGAAAGCCTTCAAAGACGTCAGTCTGGATTTAGGATTTTCAAATATATGAAAAACAGTCGACTAGGTTTGCCTTCAAAAAAGTTCTGACAATATACAGAGAATTAGATAGAATTTACCGAAGTATATAGAGAAAAGAAGACAGACATACGCAAATGGAATGTTAAAACGATGTATTGACCTGACATCCTCACTTCCTCAATATATCCACAATGTTATACCTGGTGATTATCTGTCTACTATCTTCGAGAGGGTTTTCTCTCGTACTGCCACGAAATTAATTAAAAGTTAAGGTAATAAATTCTTCCTTTTTCCAGAAGGTTGTATCTCTTGGTGAGGAAGGCTCATGTAGCTACGCATGTTTTTGATAAGAAAACCCAAAACCGTCTATGATTTTTGTGAACAATAAACGTAAGTTCTTTAGGAACATCCTATTTATTAAAACCCTATCGAGTATTCTCAAAGCGAACGAAGTTTATCTTCCAAGAGCATGCCAAATTATAGTTGGCCAATTTTCATAATCTACTTCACGACACCACCGAAAATCCTTATTTAATTTCATTAACAAACAAGACAGCGACGGGCCTAAACTGCTCTATAATTTGATATGTTCCACTTGCACCCTATTAATAAAATTTAAAAAATAAATTTGAAATTGATCAAAAATCTTTTTTATCGCTTGTTTTTCATCTTTTGCACAATAAAATGTGTATAGATTAAATAAAAATTTCAAATCCTAAACAAAATTATATTCACAAATTTCTTAAAAACGCAAAATACTATACTATTTGGGGCCCACAATATATTTAATGGGCACAGCCAATTTTTCAACTTGCTCGTTGACTCTGTAGAGTCACCGACATCGTTGGTTGGAATTGCAGGTAGCATATAAATTTATATATCTTTATCTGCCTTAGACTATATTACCACATGACCAAAAAACTTAATTTTGCTTTAGAAAACAACAGCGTTTTCAGTTTTTGGCATTACCACTTTCGTCCATTTTCAAAACTAATCCAGCTGTAACAACTATAACAATAAAAATGAATCTAATATTTTAGGTATTGAGACCAAAAGAATGTTTATCATACAAACCCACAGTGACTCACAGACGAAAGAACATACGTGCTTGTTGCACTCGTGTTTTGATATTGTCAAGAATACATAACCTAGAGTCTTTGAATTTTGTTTGTGAATTTTGCAGACGTTCTGATAAAAATACATGAAATTTTAATATCACGTAAAATCGGGTGAGCGTTGTTCTATTTCTCCATATTTCAAAGTAAAAATTTTTGTAAGCTCATCCATGGTAGTTTTATAACTATCGCAGTTAAGTAACGAGCAGAAAATCCGCTTTCTTTTGCTTTCGAAACCAAATAACATCAATTGAAGATTTGACACCGATCACTTTGTAGAGTGCTCGAAGCTTTCTTCTGGGTATTGTGCACGTTTCGACAAAATGGACACTCTTCGGCGATTTATACAAAAATTATATTTGGCTGTGGCTGAATCTTTTATACCTAGCACCTTTACTTTTTCTGTTGCCATGTTGTTTAAGTAAAAACAAACCATTTTCTTTGGTTTTGAAAATAGAAATCTTCTTACACTGACCGAATAATGCGGCAATATATTACAAAATAAATATTATTAAGTACTTATATGGAAATGGTAGCCAGGAGACACACTGATGATCTATGGTGTTAGCTAACTTTAATTTTGGGGCTTTGCTATGCTATGCGTATGCACAAGAGGTGTGAAAAACACTCTCTCCTCCGATAAGGCGTATACAAAATACCTTGCGCTTTGCGTTAGAATTAGTTGTTCAGAGTTGCATTTGTAAGAAAACACAACTACAAATTGAAAACAAAATAAGTTGCAATCAAAATTGTTTACTTACAAACATCTGAACCAAGAGAAAATGTGAAAGGTAATTGATTTGTTTTTATTTTTTAACCCAATCTTTCCATACACTATCTCAAAGGGAGTTCTTAACTTTATGATAAACTATAAATACATAAAACAAAAATAAAAAGGATAAGGTTCAATTTAAAATTGAGTTGACCTAATCTGAACCTTCTTCAGTTTCGAGTTCACGAGACCGAAATAAACATCTCTTTTTGGCTACCTTTAATTTGCTGCCGTGGAATGACTTAATTTATGTTAACCATTTTAAAAATTCACTCTTAATCTTTCAATCTTTGTTTTTCTTTTGTTCTTAATTCCTAACGTTCCTAAACAAATCCAAGCGTCGGAGCCTTTTCCAATCTTTTTGTTTTTTCATCAAGGGGTGACTTGCACATCGTCTTAATAGTATATATTTGTAAATATCTTTCTTTGGGGAAGGCGTAGTTTGTAGACTAGTCATGGGTTTAATGAAATTTGATCTAAAATGACAGTGACCTTTAAGAGCTTCCAAGTGATGGCTTTGAAAGATTAAGCTTTGGTTAATAACTTTGCCAAGAAATTTAAGCGAAGTTTTTTGGTCCACAAGTCTATATTTGACAAAAACATTGATGATATGCTCGGATCCTTTTGCAAGTATGGAATAATGCATTTGTTTAGTTAGGATAAAGGGACAAGTTTAAATCGACACAAGCGTTTGTAACGTCCGGGTACATTTTAGGTGTAGAAATAATAAATGTGTAAGGTATTAATAAGTAAACGAAAAAGAAACAAATAGCAAACTAATAGTAATATTAATAACTAACTTGAACAAGGCCATATTTTAGTGTATTGACATTTAGCCTGTAAAACATAAAACTGATAAACTAATCAAAAGAGAGAGTTCTTTCTTTCATAACTGTTCAGCTGTTGTTGTTTTGTTATATGAATAAGCTTAATTTCCCTTGCATTACATGTGATGATAAGTGGGCACCTGGTGCCATGTAGTCACATACGTATGAAGTTATACGTACTCTGTACTGATTGCAAAGAAAAATTGAACAGCTATACAATCTATGTGCATTGCAATATAATGACACAAACACAAGAATAGCTTTACAGAAACAACGCTACGCGAATTAAACGAATCTCATAAGGAATTTGAAAAAAAAAAAGAGAAAAAAAACCAAAAATGTTTATGCTGGTAATGATTTTAAACAAAACTGCCTCTGTTAATGACTTTGTAACACGTTAAGGCACAGTTAAAATTTTTAAAGTATCAGTAAATTAATAAAATAATTATGACAACAAATATGAAAAAAACCTAAGGAATTTGGTTGTCTACAGAAAGAAGAAGGGGAAAATATGTAAAAGTTTATTGTATAAAAGAAAAGCAAGAAACTGCAAATGTGGATATTTAATGCTTTTAATAAATATGAAAAAAACGAAAGAGGCAAGAAATTGTAATGAATATGTATAGTTTTACATATTGGCATTTACCTCATAACTATCTGCCCTAAGATGTTGCTAACGAATAAACGGATTAAATGCACTTATCAACTTATTATTTTTATTATCAAATAAAATAAATTTATGATTTTAAAATTTTTTAGGTTTATTCTTATTTCAGTTGTATGTATGTATATGTTCCACAAATTTTGTCCTCTAAATTTTAATCTTTTTAATTCATTTTATTTAAATATTTTTTCGCAATTACTCACTTCTTACAACTTCTTTGTGTACTTGTGAAACGGCTTTGTTGAAACTAATTGAACTGCATTGAGTTGAATTTTCGCTAAAACGTCTAAACGCCTTTACTGGTTCTTCCCTTCACAAAATATATAAATAGAGACGCTTTTGTTTACAATGGATCACAATACATCACAACTGTGGTATCCCGGCTTGCTCTCATTCTTACATTTGCAATTGCTTGGAAGTGTTAGTCATTCTATAAGGACAGTAAAA